ACTTACTTTCCTAGTTCTTACATTTGGTTAAAACTCTATTTTAATGGTTTTATTTTAATAAAAAAATTATTTTTTATTTAAAAAAGTCTTTTTTAGTCTTAAAGTTTATTATTTGGTTCTTTTTTAATTTTTTTTATCATTCTTTATACATATAACACATTAGATGAAAAATAATTTTTAATAAGAAAACTAAAAATGGACTAAAAACTCATTTTTAATTCGTCTACTTAAAAAAAGTCTCTTTTTTATTCTTCTACTAAAACAAGAAAGCTCTTTTTGTAATTCTACTAAAAAAAAACTATTTTTTAATTTTTAACTTTAAAATTTTCATTATTTAATGTGATATTTGTGGAAAAAAATTTTTAAAAAAAACTTAAAATAAGTCAAATAATAAATTTTATGAACTAAAAAAAGTTTTTTTAACTATAAAGACTAATATTTTTTTTTGGTTAAAGTAGAAGGATTAAAATGGAATTCTAACCCATTTCTTTTTTTTTATTTAGATATATATAAATAGAACATATATAGGAAGTGACTTGAACGCAGGAGAAAGAAAAATAGGGTGATTGTAAAGGTTTAAAAAACATAACGCTTTACATTAATAGTTAATTATTTTATTAATGTAATCACTCATCTTAGAAAAAATAACCAGTAATATAGAAGAAATAATGATAAGAAGGACGAAAAAGGAAAACAATTTCATGAGTCGAATTTGAGATGACATGCCTACCTTAGCAATATTCTAATAAATATTAAATAGGATTCATATACTCACCTCCTTTACATATTTCTCCTCATATTTTGTGATATTTTTTTTGTTATGGGTTCATCCAAACCTAAATACTCTCTTCCAAATCTTCATCATTTGTCTTTCTATTTTCTCATTTCCCTTCAAGATTTAGACTTTCGATTGCCATGATAGGTTTAAGCCTAGTCCTTAAATTTGGAGGGGTCCACACAATGGAGAAGCTTGGGAAAAAAAAAATTAGAGAGAGGAAAACAGATTTTGAACAAGTGCAATTTTGAGTTAGGGTAAAGGGATTAAACATGATCTATGAAACTGAAGACATACGCTGTTAACCAATCCGCTTGTAAAGCTAAGTGTGTGAGAGGAAGACAGATTTTGGAAGAAAAAGAGACGGGAAGGAGATAAAGAGAGAAATCAGTCAAAATAACTTAATTTAAATGTTTAAATAATTTATATATTAGTGAGACGACTTAACATATCATTGGTTTTATGAATTCGTCCATTTTATTCATTTAGTATATCATTGCCCATATCCAAATAGCAATAGCTAGGCTATTTTTAAAAATAGTCAGTTAATTTAGGAACAATAAATTAAGGTAGTACATATTAACTAATTTGTTACTATGTTATTAAAATAGTCAGTTATTGTTCATTAGTCCTTTAATCGCTCTTGGAACAGTAGTTAATTATACAAGTTTCTGCATACGTTGCATAATTAAGTTAGATGCATTTACTTGAGTTTTTTTTTTCTACAATTAATTTAGGATTTAGTGTAGTACAAACTGTTTTCTCAAAATTTCATTAAAAGACTTATTTAAAATTTTATATTTTAATTAATATTATTATAAATCAACTGTTAAATTAAAAAATTTTATTTATATAAATTATAAATATTAATTTTTATATTAATTTAATAATTAAAACTCTTTAATAAAAAAAATTATTTACTCACATATATTTAACAATATTAACATCATTTATATGGCTACCTATACATTAAGTGTGGGGATGCCCCCGGCAGTTAGGTAAGAGTTTAGTTGACGGGCTCGAGTAACCCTCAAACTCCAAACTACAAGGGCAACATTGTTAAATTTTATATAATTAATGAAGTTTTGTTAAAATAATTTAAAAATTACTGTACATTATTTATATGAGTAAATTTTTTGATTTAATAGTTAATTTAAAAAATATTAATTAAAAAGTAAAATTTTTTATGAAACTTCCTAAATCTTTTTTCTAGAAACACAATATGCAAAACCACTCTTCCCATTTTGTTTTAGTCTGAAAAGTGAAACCTACTCTGCGTTTACTGTGTTAAGACAATGTGAACGCTAAGATAGGATTCCTCTGCAACCAAACATACCTTAGATTTTACTCTTCAAAGGAATACAGGGACGTGCCACCGGCGGTTTATGGGTCCACTCTGTTCAGCTTTGTTAATTATGGACCTAATTTTGTAGTTATATTTAATAAGAGTAACATTTAAAGTTTTATA